AGAAAATATTTGCAAGCTATGCAACTTATAAAGGATTAATATCCATAAAGAGCTCAAGAAATTCACCACCAACAAAACAATCCTGTTAAGAAATGAGCAAAGGACATGAACAGGTATTTTTCAAGAGAGGAAATTCAAATGGCCAACAGACACATGAAAAAATACTCCAGGTAACTAGCCATCAGGGAAATGCAAATCAAAACCATAATGAAGGTTCACCTCACCCTGGTTGGAATGGCTCTCACACAGAAGTCAAGAAACAACAAATGCTGGCAAAGATGTGGGGGAAAAGGTACCCTAATCCACTGTTGATTGTAATATAAGCTGATACAGCCATTGTGGAAATAGTTCGTAGATGCCTCAGAAATCTGAATATAGATCCTACCATATGATTCAGCCTGGAATTTAGCAAACCAAAAGAAATTAGCATATGAAAGAGTTATCTGTACCCCCTTGTTTATTACAGCTCAATTCACAATAGCTAAGATATGGAATCAACCCAGATGTCCATCAACTGTTACTGGATAAAGAAATTATTTTATATATACACTATGGAGTACTACTCAACTGTAAAAAGAAAATGAAATCCTGTCTTTTGTAGCAAAATGGATGCAACTGGAAACCATTATAATTAATGAAATTAGCCAGTCCTAAAATGACAAATACCATATATTTTCCCTGATCTGTGGTAACTAATAGAGTATCTAAAAGGTAATGTATTGGAGTGAAATTCACATTTTGAGACTTGATGACTATTCACAGCTCTTGTCTCTGCTTTTCTTCATACTACTAGTTGAACTATTTACTTATTGTAAGTTTAAACTTATGATCATAAAATAAAAGCAAAAAATAAAATTAGAAATAGAAAAATAAGGGGTTGGTGCTGTGGCGTATTGTGTAAAGTCGCTGCCTGCATGCCAGCATCCCATATGGGTACCAGTTTTGATTCCCGGCTGCTCCACTTCTGATCCAGCTTTCTGCTGTGGCCTGGAAAAGCAGTGGAAGATGGCCCAAGTCCTTGGGCACCTGCACTTATGTGGGAGACTTAAAAGAAGCTCCTGGCTCCTGGCTTCAGATTCATGCAACCCCAGCCATTGTGGCCATTTGAGGAGTGAACCAATGGATGAAAGACCTCTCTCTCTCTCTCTCTCTCTGCCTGTCTTTCTCTTTGTGTAATTCTGATGTTCAAATAAATAATCTTTAAAAAATGAAATAGAAAAATAAAAATGAAATTAAAAATTAAAAATAATAAAAATAAATAGCCCTATAAGAATTTTTAAAAAGGAATTTTATCTGTGAACTATATAAATCCATTAAAACTTACAGTAAAAAACATTTTAAAAAAAGTATTCAAGGTGTTTAACTACAGCAAAAATAAAATAAAATATAGGTTCATGTTTTCAACTACTTTAAACAGACATGGGGCCTTCACAAATTATTGAAAATGTGTATTATTAAAAAAGTAGGGTGAATTTCAAAACATTTTGTACTAAAATAAACTTACCTTTTAATTCCATTTTTTGCATGAAATGTTAAGAGTACCCTTCATCTAAGACAATTTTAAATTTGTTAACATCAACACCTGTGTCTCCTGCTGGTATCTTAAGTTCAATGAAACCCAACATAAACTCATTATATACAAACACAAACACACACAAACACCCTCTCTTCCTCCTTTTCCCTTCTCTATTTTCAATTCAAATTTTCTAGCACCTGCTATATGCTACATACTATTTTAGGTGCTAAAAAATCTAAGTAATAAAAAATTTGGCAATAAGATAATAAATCTCTTTTGTAATAATAAATGAGTTATAAGGTAAGGATAACTACTAAGGAAAATCACAAGAAACAAATAATGAGAACAGATGGGAGGAAAGGTATTTTATAAGATGGTCAAAGCAAGCATTCCTAATTACATGAGATGTGAGATTTTACAACTGTGGCATAGACATCTGTGTTGTAGACTAGAACCTGAATATTTTTAGCTGCTTATTTTTCTATAAATATGAATATTAATTAGATTAAGTCCAAATTTTGATAAAATGATCAACTGAAGAATTTCCTCTGAGTTATATTTCTGGAGGGACAATACAAAAGAATGAGAGGTTGCTTTGTTTTACTTTCTCAAGAGATATCTAAAGTATCTGAAAACAATAGTGTCCTAAGGATTAGTGAATGAATATGAAATTGGAAACCACATCTTTATCAATTTTTAAAGTAGAATTAATTTGACTATCTTTTACCTTGAATGAATTTTTTATATAAATGTGATTTTTTAAAATTATACTTTGGTCATTTGGAAAATATTAATTCAATATCCAGATCTTCCAAACAATTGATATATTTCATTGTATAATAGCAGAAGTTAACATCTGTTAATGTTATCATATAGCTCATCAAAAAACCCTTATGTTGTGGGAAGCTGTTCTAATACTTCTCAAAAATTACAATTTTGATTGAAAGTTTAAAATCTACCATTGAAAGCAAATACTTTCAGTTGTTTTCATTGACATGGTAGGTTCATTTCTCCATTTTCAAGAAAATGTCCTTCTAAACATCCATACATAGTAATCACAATTTTCAAACTTTTTTTTAAATAAAAATGCTGGGGCTGGCACTGTGGCCTAGCTGGTAAGGCCGCCACCTCACCTGCAGTGCCAGCATCCCATATGGGTGCCAGTTCTAGTCCTGGCTGCTCCACTTCCAATCCAGCTCTCTGCTATGAACTGGGAAAGCAGTAGGAGATGACCCAAGTCCTTAGGCCCCTGCACCTGAGTGAGAGACCTGGAGGAAGCTCCTGACTCCTGGCTTCAGATTGGTGCAGCTCCGGCCATTGCAGCAAACTGGGGAGTGAAGCAGCCGATGGAAGACCTTTCTCTCTCATGCGCGCGCGCTGCCTGCTTTTGCCTATCTGTAACTCTGCCTTTCAAATAAAATAATTAAATCTTAAAAATATATATATATATATATAAAATAAAAATGCTGTTTCACAGAAATGCCAGCTAGTTCAATTTGCAACTTCATAACACTGGTGAATTTCCTCGAAAGAACTGTTGAATTAAAGCATGCAACTCACTGATGTGCCTTATGTGGACATGCCATGTGGAAGTACAGGATATTGAGATCTTTACAAATGATCAACATTTAATAAATCTAGTAACTGTTACTACTCCATCCAGGATCAAGTATTGTTTAAATAAAGTGGCATTGATTTTACTGAGGATGTTTACTGCTTCATGAGTTGTCAAGGACATTGATAAATAAAAGTGGCATCCTGTTTAGAGATATGGCAGTAAGGAATAGAATAAGCAGCAGCACAATTTGGTGCCTTAATTTGTGCTAAAGGACTAAAATTCACCTACCATTGGTTTTTCAACATCAGAGCAAAGGTTAACACAATGAATAAAGGCAGATAATGTCTTGCCATGATTATGAAAGTAACTTTGACCTTGCAAATCACATGAAAGGATAATGCTTTATTCTAAAACATAATTTTTGTTATATCATTCCCTTGCTCAAAAGATTTCAATTGCTCTTTGTTTCCTACAGAACATTTTTAAAAGTCATTTTTTCAAGCTGAATTCTAAAAATTATATAACTTGTATTAATCTATTTATTTCTGCTTACCTGTTGTTTTTTATCTGTTGTTTCATTTGCTCTTGTACAAATCAGGTTCTAGATAAATGAAACTATTACTATTTCTATTATAAACCTTAAAGTTTAGGCATTTCTTTCAAATAATTTTGCTGTTTCTTTTTCTTGAAGTGTTTTGCTATCCTCACATTCTTTAGATGCAGGTCCTGCCTTATTGTAAGGTCCAACTCAGATGAAGCTTAAGTACATGTCATAGACCCCTCTTCTGAAGATACAAGGCACTCATTCCGCTGGCTATCTCTGGAAGATTCCTTCCAGTTATTGAGGAGGGTAGGAGTGATCAGTTCCCTTCTCCACCCTATGTTCTGTTCATGCTACCCTGGTTCACGCTAGTTATTTCTAATCACTCAAGTCTCTTTCCCTTAAATAAAAGGTTATTTCCAGGAAAATTTACATGAAACAAGTTCCCTTGCATGATGCTTTGTAGACCTACAGTTTCTCCTTGCTTTGCCTGACATCTTACTTCAGAGGCTACAACATGTTTTCTCTCTCTTTCTACTTTCATGGTAATTGTGCACCAATGAACTCATTTATCAGAATAACAGAAATCCTGCCCCACGGGTCCTATTGACTTTTGATTCTGTCTCTGCAGTAGCTTTAACATACATCTCAATAGTTTTTCACTAAAAAGGAAGAAAGGAGAAAATTCTGCTTATCACAGATCACGCTCATACAGAAATAAGTCTTTTAATTTATCAGAGGCTGTTGACATATTACAAAATCCATTAGTTAATTTTATCCTTAACTGATATTTTGTGCAATAATTTTCTCTTTCACAAACTATGCAGTGTGGATTTTCTTTGTGCTCTTGTTTTTGATGGATAACAGATATTTGCATTTAAATATCACTTTGATTATGAGCATATAAGTAGATTTCTTTAATCTAAAAGAGTTAATAATTAAATCAATAAATGCATTTGGTGGTGATGTTTTCCTTTCACAAATGTTTTAGTTTAAGTCATTTTCTAACCAATAAAAATTTCAAGTTATGTTGAAGGAATCTTCAGTGACTTGAAAGAAGGTGAGTGGAAACTTAATGGTGTGGAAACAAAATGAAGATTGCTGATGTAATCCAGAAGCTGCCCATCCTATGGAAGGAGTATATACATGCATATACCTTAAAGTTTCTACATGCCATATTACATTTTTTAGATAGATTCTTTTTCTTGCATTATTTGTGAAGTGTTATATACAAACTTCAGTAAACTTTTTGGAATGGAATTAGGCAATGCATAGTTGAATGTACAATATTAAAATGATAGAGTTAGATCTTCTCATCTGATGAGACTACACATAATTTTTTTTCTTTCTTTCCTTTGAATGCACTTTCTTTATGTTTTGCCTAGTTGGGTACACAATGAATGATCTCATTTTTGAATGGCAAGATGAGGCACCTGTACAAGTGGCAGAAGGACTCACTTTACCCCAATTTCTGTTAAAAGAGGAAAAAGATTTACGATATTGCACTAAACATTACAATACAGGTACGGATTGAAACTTGTCTTTATACTTATAACTTGTGATTTTATGATATCCAGATGTTTCTTGAGTATAATGCTAGGTTAATTATTTCAACTGTGTATAGATCAGTCATGGTCATAGAACATGAAATGGATGTATTTTCAATTTATATATATTTTACCTTATTGCACATTGTTATATAACTGGCTTGTATGGGCCCGGTTATATATGTTAAGACTTTTTTTGTGAGAAACCCATAGTTACTGTTATGGTTTGAGTATATCTCCCTAGCCTTCATGCACTGGATGCTTGGTTCTCAGTGTGATGATGTCAGAGGTAGTGGAAGATTTAAAAGTTGGACCTGGTGGGAGGTAATTAGATCATAGGTGCTGCCTTCAGAAGGGACGTTCTTGCAGGACCTCAGTTACTTCTCATACGTATGAGTTGTTATAAAATGGGCCATCCCCTGAGCTTTCCTTCTCCTGCAAATGGCTGTTTCCCTTTCCGCCTCTCCACTATATTATGACCGAACAAGGGCGCCCTCACCCAGGCTGAGCTGGTGCTGATGTCATGCTCTTGCAGCTTCAAAACTATAAGCTAATAAATTTCTTTTCTTTATGGCCACCCAGTCTCGGGTATTCTTTATAGTAGTAGAATCTGAACTAATGTAGGTATACCAAGGTGATGTTTAAAAGAATTCCTTTAGTTTGTATATGAGTGGTAAAATCTTTAAAAATCATTTTTGGGCTGTAAACATCTGCTAACACACACACACACACAAAAAGAAATTTCTTTGTAGTTCAACTTTAATTTTTGTAAACTTTCCCTTTGCCAAATTTTTTAGGAATTTTGAGGTATTTTTTATCTGAGCACTTAATACTCACACTGACATAGGAAGCTTTTGCCCTTGAGTGTAGTTATCAGATATATTTATTTGAAAATACGAAGACTGAGAAACTCAATATGATCATTTTAACTTTACAAAATCTGCGCATCTGCTCACTTCTTTCAACTGGTTGAGCTATTCCCAATATATTTTCTAACTAATATGTTTCTAAGATAATATATTGCTGTGAATTCCACTAAAACTCCATCCCTAGGTGTTGTTTGGGACATCAGCCCAATGTGGCAAGTGCATGGCTTCCCGCTAGCACCAACTGCTTTCTATCATTTAATTATAGTAACTATGCTATATCACGGATTCTGCATTTTTCAGAACTATGAGCTGACTTTTCACTATTTAAAGTCCCTAGAATTTAACAAATTCACAGTATCTGATCAAAAAGTCATTGTCATTAACTCAAAGATGAAGCTTACATCTAACTTATAAGGGAGTCCAAGGTTAATATCTCAGCACAATATAAAGGACAGGCAAGTCAATAGCAATGCCCTTGTTCAACTTCTTTAGGGCAATCACAATCATGAACCCTTTTTAGAGAAAAACTGACAAAAGCCTCTAGAGGTGGGTTATAGTGTTGCATTAGTTTGCTAGGGCTGATATGACAATTTGCAGACATGGTGGCTTAAAACAACATAAATGTATTTTTTCCCATTCTGAAATCAAGGTGTCAGTAGGATCCTGCTTTCTCTAGTACTCTGTGGAAGAATCCTTCCCTGCTTTTCATAATTCCTATTTCTGGTATCCTTGGCTTTAGATGCATTACTTTAGTCTCAGTCTCCATAGCCACATGACATTCATTCTCATGTCTCTGTGTTCAAATTTTCCTCTCCTTATGAGGACATCAGAAATACCTAATTTGGGACACAACTTACCCAGTATAACTTCATTTTAACTTGACTATATCTATGAATATCTTATTTCTAAGTAAGATCACATTCACAGGTTCCAGGTGGACATTAGTTTTAAGGAGATGTCATTTTAACCCAGAATAAGAGATGCAGGGATTACTAGGGATACATTTCTATGATGCAGCATCTAAAGACCCCTCCTTGATTGGCATACTGTAGAGCTACCTACCAAGCTATTATATCTTAAAGGAAAAAATAATCTTACATATGTGAATGGCTGATACAAGCAAAGAATTGAACAGGTGTTTTTCAGATGATATCAGAGGGAATTAAACTGTTTGATCTAAGAGATTGAAGCATAATAGTCTTCTCTAATTATCGAGAGAATCCAAGTATCTGGTAGTGTCTTCAATTAAATATGTGGTGAATTTGCTTCAGACACCAAAGTCTTACTCCTAAAACACATTAGAATACTTTGAGTTATTTTTCAATAATAGACTCAAACATGACAATTGCAAAATAGAAGAGAAAAACACTAAAAACACACTTATAAGTATCTTCTTCTCTTAAAAAAAAAAGAAATATACTGATTTTAAGAATGCTTTTACCCTGGGCTGGTGCCGTGGCTCATTTTGCTAATCCTCTGCCTGCGGAGCCGGCATCCCATATGGGCACCGGTTCTAGTCCTGGTTGCTCCTGTTCAGTCCAGCTCTCTGCTGTGTCCCAGGAGGGCAGTGGAGGATGGTTCAAATGCTTGGGCTCCTGAATCCGCATGGGAAACTGGGAGGAAGCACCTGGCTCCTGGCTTCGGATTGAAGCAGCACACCAGCCTTGGAGGCCATTTGGGGGGTGAACCAAGGGAAGGAAGACCTTTCTCTCTGTCTCTTTCACTGTCTATAACTCTACCTGTCAAATAAAAAAAAAATGCTTTTACCCACAAATGAATTTCACAAACTGAGAGGTTTTGTTGATTTTTATTTTAATGAAAAATTGGTGAATTTTTTACATTTTTTCTCTTTGTAATCACACGCATTCTGTGTGTAAACAGTGTATACACACACACATACATGCACATAAGAACTGTGTGTATGTGACTATAAATCTATATACTTTTCTTTCCCAGCACTACTCATAAAAACACATATTTCAATAAAACATGATAGCTTGTATTTTTCTTGAGAATCACAATAAAATAAGAGAAGTTATCCAAAATAACCAGTCGTCAGGATTGGTTACTTCTTATATAATGAGATTACTAAGTGAATTGTTAGTTATAGCAAATATTTCAGTTATTCTTGCTCCACTTTATTTCAGTATTTTAAAAGAAAATTTTAAAATATTTACATTTAATAACATTTTAAATATGTTCATAAGATTCATTAAAAGTGGAATCCAAATTTCCTAGTGCTTACATGTCTTTATAACACTTCTAAGTCCAGAAGTCAAATCTATCCTTCATGAATGGTAGTGCTCTTGCATCACCTCTGAAATCACATGTGGCCCAAGATATCATGGGTTTCCACTTGACTCAATCTAGCCATACATTAGCAATATTCCTTTATATGCTCTTTGATATCTTTTCTTCATTGTTGGGTCAGAGAATCGTTCTTAAGGAGCAGAAGATTAACTCTGATCTCACCTTTCCAAATTAATTAGAAGATAGAAGATAGAATAAAACCAGAAATTGGAGGTCCACAACATGATGCAATGGGTTAAGCTACCACTTGGCAACCATAATTCAAAGTTTGAGTGCAGGTCTTAGTCTTAGTTACTCCACTCCCATCCAGCCTCCTGCTAATGCAGGAAAACAGCATAATATGGCCCATGTATTTGGGTTCCTGCCTCCCACAAAGGAGACCTAGATAGAGTTCCAGGGCTTCTTGTTTTTCTCTGACACAACCCTGGTTGCATCAGCCATTTGAGAAGTAAACCAGCAGATAAAAGATTGATCTCTTTCTTTCTCTCTTGTTCTGGCTCTCACTCACCACCTTCCAAATGTTTTGCTTTCAAATAAATAAATTTTAAAATCTTAGAAAAGAAAGAATTGAGTAAGTTAGAGGAACTTTTCAAAAATATTCAATTATTTGATAGGGAGAGAGAGAAGGAAGGAGGAGGGAGCAACAGAGAGAGAGCAAGGACAGATAACAGATGACATAAAGTAATAGAGATAATAGAGGAGGGAGTAGAACCAGGAGATTAGCAGAAACATCAACTTCATGTTTAATTAAAAATTAATTTTTCTGCTATTTATTACATCCCATGACAGAGCTAAATAATAGCAACATAAAGTCATAAGTATATATAACAAATTAAACCTATTTGATTTTGTTATTCACAAAATTATTAATAGGAAATAACATATTTGTTATTTGTTTGTGTTATTACTTGCAGAACTATTCATTTATGATCATATTTATTTCTTAACACTTACTTTAAAATAAATAAAAATAAAGTTCTATGGAAAAAATAGCTCTAGATTCTAAATTATACACTTTACAGCACCAGAAATAGTCAATGGAACAGATTTTTATGTGGTAAGTATTCATTTCCTTAGTCTGCCTCAGAAGCAATTATTAGAATCAAGTGAAATAATAGATCTTGGAGTAGTTAGTCAAATTTGAAGTGCTAGTCAAATGTGAAGGATTATTTCCTCAAAGAGCACACTGTTTCATTACATTGACCTAGATGCTGAAAGAAAAGTAAAAAATATGTTTTCCAGGGACCAACCTGAATATGTGAGTTAGAATATAATGAAATATTTTAAGACAAAATTATTATGAAAATGAAATTGATACTTGATGCCATAACAAAGATCTATTTTACTAATTACTATACTTATTTACAACCAAATAGGAAAGTTTACATGTATAGAAGTGAGATTCCACCTTGAGCGACAGATGGGATACTATCTGATCCAGATGTACATTCCCAGTCTCCTCATTGTTATTCTGTCCTGGGTTTCATTTTGGATCAACATGGATGCAGCTCCAGCCAGGGTAGCATTGGGAATAACCACAGTGCTGACTATGACCACACAGAGTTCAGGATCACGAGCTTCTTTACCAAAGGTAAGTGTTCTGGAAAAACATACATGGACTTGCACATATACTTCAAAATATCTTTTTTTCTGATGTCAGATATTTCTCAAAAGGATTTCACTATTTATTAGTGATTTTAAAAGTAGTATGTAAAGAGAGTAGAAAACTTGCAAAACACTAAAATAGATGAATGAAAAATTATACAGAGCAGTGATATATGCTTTTCACATTGTGTTATTTATTTAAATATCAGTAATAGTCTTGTACATTGTGAAATTATTTGTATCTATAATTTTTAAATATTTAAAAATATATAAAAACATTTATTTTATTTGATTCTACCTGGTAGATTTAAAGGTAGCACAGTACTCCATTGTGTGCATATGCCATAATTTACTTTTTCAATTTCAAGACTAACACTACATTGAGTATTTATACAATCAATATTAAATATATGCATACATAGGTATATATATGTTTATAGGCAGACCCACACATGCATATATATGTATATAAATACTGTTTTACACATATTTCATATATGCTCTTGGAGCTAGAACTTCTGAGCATTGATGTGTATTGCCAAAGTTATCTCCAGAAAAAAATCCTACAAAGTACACTGCCACAAATATTGTGTAAGTGTCCTGGCTACCGTGCAGTTCCAATCCACTTTCCTGCTAATGTGCAGGGAATGGAGGCCCAGAAACTTTTGAGTTCCGAACTTCAAATATAGAGAAAAGTTGACCACATATCTTGAATTTTGTGACAGGTGTAAGAGGTAGAGCATATATAATCATTTGGATTAGAATTTAGGAAGGCAGGGGCCAGCACCATAGCTCACTTGGTTAATCCTCCAACTGTGGCACCGGCATCCCATATGGGCTCCGGGTTCTAGTCCCGGTTGCTCCTCTTTCAGTCCAGCTCTCTGCTGTGGCCCTGGAAAGCAGTGGAGGATGGCCCAAGTGCTTGGGCCCTGCACCCGCATGGGAGACCAGGAGGAAGCACTTGGCTCCTGGCTTTGGTTCGGCGCTGCGCGCTGGCTGTAGCGGCCATTTGGGAAGTGAACAAATGGAAGGAAGATCTTTCTCTCTGTCTCTCTCTCTCACTGTCTAACTCTGCCTAATAAAAAAAAAAAAGAATTTAGGAAGGCATACACTAAAATCCCAAGAGAAACAAGAATTAACCTATTGGATGATGCCATTCAAAAATGTAGAAAATTGTTTATAATAGAACATATGATAAACATGATATAATATGGTAGCATAATATAATTCTGATTATGCGATGACTAGAAAAACATGCTTGCATTTAAAAATAGATGTCTAAAACCATGCACCTTAAGGTCTGCTGTTTTCAACCTCACAAAAGAACCCTGAAATGCCTGCCATTGAAACAATCACTATTTATCTAGTGACAATTTCTAGCAGGTAGGAAAACAAAATTAAACTTAGGAAATAGAAACAATGAATCATTAATTTATGGTAACTGTTTATTGCTCTGTCCAAACTTTCTGTTAATGCAAATCTTGTAGGACTTGAAGGAATTGGAAAATTAGTCAAATAACATTCAGAGAAGAGAATCTCTAGGAATATAATTTAAACAGCTCATTTGAAGTCCTTCACAGCTGAGATTCCTCTCATTTTCTATCATATTGACCTCTACAGTATCACGATAAATCAAACACTTAATAGTCCAAACCAAGAGACTTGTGATTCAATCGTTGGAACTTGGAGCAATTTTACATTTCTGCACCTCCTGCATTAGGTGGACAAAAAAGGGTGTCATATGCATCCCATTGTCAGAAAATGTTTAAGGTTGAATAATTTCTTGTGTTGTGTTTAATATTGTATAATTTCAGTGTTCTTGGAGCAGAGTGAGAAAAAATGGCCGTCATTCTGGGGCTACATACTGGAGAATTTTATAGTCCTTGATAATGTTTAGGTTTATTTTGTATGCAGTAGTAGTAGGTCCCTGAAAGGTGTTTTGTTTTATAAGGTTTTTTTTTAGTTCTAAAATTTAACAATTTTAACACTGTATACACATATGTAATATTTGTCTTGAAAACAGAGATATCAATATCAAACTGAGGGATTAATGATAATGATTATAATTTGGTGAAAGAAGGGTGCATTGTCACGTACATGGTATGATTCAATGAAATATACCAATTGATACGATATCCACACAATATTTGTATTCCCTAAATATTAAATTAGGAAAAACATATGATAAAATCACAAAGCTTAAATTTTTTAATGCCATAATACTGCAGCTTTGGCATCAAACTGATTCAAAAATAAAAGATGTATATGCAATTCTAAGAATATTTATCCTAAAACATGTCTTCAACTCCTTTCACTGCATACATACATATCCTGGAATCATAATATTATCCCCTAAAAAATAAAAATGTGTGTAAATATGTCCTTTTGCTATGGAAGGAAGAACTTGGTCCTCAAATCTGTATTGAAATGCACTGTTGAGGCTTTTTTTTATGTTCATGATTCCAGTTTGAAGTTATAAATAGAGCTCTTCGACTCCAGACAAAAAGACAATCGGAAGGTTTATGATTATATGAAAGATGATGTTATAGAAATACAAAATACTTCAGCACACAAACACACACACACAAAACCAGAGAGAGAAAGGTCACAAATATAATTTAACCTTAACTGAGTCTGTCAAAAAAGGTAATATATAAAGAAAATCCCATAAGTGTAACAGCATGCACATTTAAAGCATTTCTAGTGACATTCAGATTTATTTTACAGTTCATGTAAGTGCTAAAAATGAGAAAGAGTCTCATGTCCTATTGAAGAGATGACAATAAACTCTAGTAACTGAAGTAGAAATCAGATATAACAGTGTGACCTTTAAAACTCCTTTAGTCTCTTTGGTTGCACTTTCTTTGACTGAAAGGATTAGTCAAGTTCATCTTTTCAAAATAATTTAGCTCCGTTATACAATTTTATGCTATATTTTAAATCTTAAAATAAGAACATTTATGTAGAAAACAAATCCCGTGTTAGAAGCATTTTTCATTTTCTAAATCCTCTGAGTAGCATTAGTATGTACATGACATAGTAGGGCACTGGTGGGTGACCCTCAGGATGATAAATGTCAGAATGTCAAATCTCACAATAACCGGTAGCCTGTGTGATTCACTGCCTCATGCCTAATGCTCAGAGAAAACGAATCAGCCAGCTCCTTTTGCCTTTCCACTAGTAGCTCCACACTACTGCAACACTTGCTCCTCTTTTTTTTTTTAAGTTTTCTCTCTATATATGAAAGACAAAATAGCAGAGAGAAGTGGAGAACACACAGAAACACACAGAAAGTGCTATATATATTTCAACATTCATGTTTCAGAAATTATGTTGTTCTAAAGGTAAAATTATATTTCGTCTTGTATTTCCTCTAACCATATTTTTGGGCTAGTGCTTAATTTGAAGAAAGAAATTTACAAAATATACAAGTTTTAATGTATGGCTAATAAAATTTCTAAGCATTAATATCTGAAATATTCATATTAAAGACAATTATTTCCATGCATTTATTTTTTTTCAAATTGATACATATGTTATAATTTAGAAGCAGAAAATATCTAGTTTTTCTATCAAATAAATAACAAGATAAGTCAATCTGCGTACTCTCTTTCTTCATGACCCTCCCCATCTACTGGAAGATCCTTTACCCAGCCCATCTCTAGACCATTACCCCCTTGTATTTTCTTTATAGTATTTCTGTTAACATTATGTGTTTGTATTTATTCTGTGTTTTCCTACACTGAATGTAAACACCATTAATAATGGATATTATTTTTCTTCCTCATCTCTGTTCTTATAGCATAAAGAATATTACTTAGTACATCATTTTGTTCAACACATGTAGAATGAAAAACAGAAACTGAATAAATGTAGGTAATGTAAGAGGATAGCTGAAGCCTAATTTTGAATGTTTTTATAAACCATAAAACTGATTTTGGACTTTAAATTAATGAAAAGAAAATTAAGAGTTTTATGAAGTTTTATGTTTTATGAAGGCAATACAATCAGACTTGTCTTTAAAAATGATCACTGGTGTGAATGACCTAGCAGTTAAGATGTTGGTTAAGACAACTGCATCCCATATTGAAGTGCCTGGGTTTGATACTGGCTCTTGACTTGTTTCCTGCTAATGCAGACCCTGGGAGGCAGTGATGATGCCTCAAGTAATTAGATCAGTGCCACTCATGTGGGACACCTGGTTTGCATTGCCGGCTTCCAGCTTCAGCTTAGCCCAGTCCCAGCCATTTTGGGCAATTGTGGAATGAGCTAGTAGATGGAACCTCAATCTATCTGACTCCTCGCTCTCTGTCTCACTCTCTCTTTCAATATCTTTCCTCAAATAAAAAATGTTAACAATTCATAATCATTGATTGCTGTGTCAAGGCTACCTCTGAGGGAGTGGAAAAATGTTCGTTGTGGCTTAGATAAATGTGATGGAAGTAAGGAAGGAAATAATTTATAAATTTGAGAAATAGCAAGATAGAATAATTAACATGCTTATTTTCTTTAGATGCAAGAGAAGACTACTAGGACTGAGGGTGACCAATGGTAAACAGAGACAGACATTTTAGTTGGAGAAAGAAGTTGAACTTGTTTATAGTCCGGTACAGATTCAGAACTTCTTTTTACTCAGATTAAGCATGAGGTGTGTGAGACATCCAAAGGGTTTTGTTACATAAAAACTTGTCTATAGAGAGATCTAGTCAGGAAATAGAAACTTGAAGCTGTGAGCACAGATATGCATGGGAATAGGATTCATTGGTGAGAGATTTGAGAGAAATAAAGGAGGTATGAGAGAATAAAGATGGCCAAAGACATAGCCTGAGGAACTCATAAAAGAGAAAGAGTCCACAAGTACATAAGAGTGGTACAGATGGAAAGAAATACAGAGAACACAGGTCACAGAAGCCATGGGAAGATCATGCTTCCAGGAGAATGCAGTCTTTGGCACAATGGCTTGGGAATGGTTTCCAGGACATAGGT